TCATCATGCAAAGCTTCATGTTAATTTGGACTACAATTCCATATATCTGCCCCCCCCCCCTGGAGAAAGTTGGCTTTGGTTACGATTTTTCAACACTTCTGGCCACTAGCAGGCAAAACAATTTTATAACCCAGGAAAAGTTTCAAAATATTCAAGAAAGATGGCATCATTTTTAGTGAGAGCTTGCAAAGAGCTTCTTTCTCGTATTCTAAGTAATGTTGAAACTTTCAAAAAGGTGACAAATCTGTCACCTATCATATGCCTTAGGTTATCTTGAGATGATTTCGGGGCTTTTAGTGTCCCCGCGGCCCGGTCCTCGACCAGGCCTCCACCCCCAGGAAGCAGCCCGTGACATCTGACTAACTCCCAGGTACCTATTTACTGCTAGGTAACAGGGGCATTCAGGGTGAAAGAAACTTTGCCCATTTGTTTCTGCCTCGTGCGGGAATCGAACCCGCGCCACAGAATTACGAGTCCTGTGCGCTATCCACCAGGCTACGAGGCCCCTTCCTACACACGGCCACCATTTTCAGAACTTAGTACTAGCCCACCAATCTAAACCTTAGTGAAATTGGAAGTCAGTGGCGCCTACCGTTAACTATTGACTGGTTCAACATTTGTGAGGGACAAATTCCAACATTTGGATTGTCACTTTGGACCAAGGCAATAACTGTCATGAACGCATCACATCACATGAGACCAGAAGGCATGGCAGGATGTGCAGGATACCCCCGTTGAAGAGCAGAGGTGCAACAGGTACTCTGAGAGAGAACTATCAACATCAGAGGCCCGAGACTGTTCAACACGCTTCCACTACACATAAGGGGCATAACTGGCCGATCCCTCACAGTGTTCAAGAGAGAACTGGATAAGCACCTCCAAAGGATATCTGATATCAAAGATCAGGTTTTACTAATTTTTACTAATAATTCTACTAATTTTGTTTATTTTTTTCTCTTTCCCCATGCCCCCTCCCCCCCCCCCCACACACAGGAAGCGGCCCGTAACAGTTGTTTAACTCCCAGTACCTATTTACTGCTAGGTAATAGGAGCATCAGGGTGAAAGAAACTGCCCATTTTATTTCTGCCATCACCGGGGATCGAACGTGGACCTTAGGATTACGAGTCCAGAGCGCTGTCCACTCGGCTGTCAGGTCCCCCCCCCCCCCAGTAGTACCTAATTGTGCTTGCGGGGGTTGAGCTCTGGCTCTTTGGTCCCGCCTCAAGTACTGTGTGTGTGTGTGTGTGTTGTAGCTAAGCTTGCTTGCTCTTGTCAGAAAGTGCGAGTGTTCGTAAGGTTGTACGCATGTGTGTGAACACATATGGGTGTGTATAGAGGAAAAGGGAGATGGAATAGGGAGGAAGGAGGGACGGCGGCGTAGGGGCAGCGTCCTCAGAGCCAAGAATAGTGCGAGACACCGTGGGGGTCATGACCTTAATATGCCCTCTCTCTCTCTTCCATCATGCTGGCTCCTCTGCGTACAGCCTGGCTCTCGTGCTCGCGCGCGTGCACACGCCCCACGCCCACACACACGCTCCCCTCCCTCCCACACACGCTCCCCACCCTCCCACGCCCACACCCTCCCCACACCCACACCCTCCCCACACCCACACCCTCCCCACACCCTCCCCACACCCTCCCCACATTCTCCCCACACCCTCCCCACGCCCTCCCCACGCCCTCCCCACACCCTCCCCACACCCTCCCCACACCCTCCCCACGCCCCCACGCCCCCACACACCCTCCCACCATCATTCTCATACACTCACCCCTTTTTTGTTTAGGAGATCACTAAGCTCCATTAAATTCAATGCAGCTAAACACGTGTATTTATTTTATTTATTTATTTATTTATTTATATATTTATTTATTTATTTATATATTTATTTATTTATTTATTTATTTATTTATTTATTTATTTATTTATGTATATATACAAGAGTTCTTACGTTCTTGTACAGCCACCAGCACGCGTAGCGTTTCGGGCAGGTTCTTAATCCTAATGTTCCCTGGAATACGACCCGCCAAATGGTTTAACAACCAGGTACCCATTTTACTTTTAGGTGAACAGAGGCTACAGTTAAGGATTTGCGCCCAGTCAATCCTTCCCGGCCAGGATACGAACCCATGACAAAGGTCTCGCGAAACGCCAGGCGAGTGTCTTACCAATACGCCACGGGGGACACACACAAGGAAACATATATATATATATATATCAGATTTAGCACATATCTCGCCTTGCAATGATTTGGGTGCCTTCAATTACCCCCCCCCCCTCCCCCGTGCGTGCCTTTGATGTAATCCCGGCCACCTCTTGTCGCTTGATGGGTTTAAATCACAGGTGTTTGGTCTGTATAAACCATTGACCTCCCAATCTGTTTAAAGCACAAATCTCTAGTCCTCTATAAACCACTGACCTCCCAATCTGTTAAACCACAGACCTTGGACTTTTGGTCTACGTAATTGGTCTCCCAGTTTGAAATTGGGAGATTATGAAGTGTTCAAAAGAATAAACACGTGCCGCCCTTCCTGCCTCACAACATGTGTAATATGTGTCCGTTTATCTCGTGCCCACTGGGGGGGGGGTATTGCACAGTGTTCTTAAACCCAAAATGATGATATTCCATTATTTGTAAATGATATAGTGGTGATTATACATTATACAGGTATTGCAGAATAGCGAGAGGGTGTATGCATTCATGCATATGCATACCAGGCCCGGCCAAGTTCAGGAGGGCCCCCGGGCAAGTTCAGGAGGGCCCCCCGGCCAAGTTCAGGAGGGCCCCCGGCCAAGTTCAGGAGGGCCCCCGGCCAAGTTCAGGAGGGCCCCCCGGCCAAGTTCACGAGGGCCCCCGGCCAAGTTCAGGAGGGCCCCCCGGCCAAGTTCAGGAGGGCCCCCGGCCAAGTTCAGGAGGGCCCCCCCGGCCAAGTTCAGTAAATTCGGTGAACTGAAAGAGCGATGCAGCTTACCTTTTTCCAGTTCCTTACTGTGTTTTATTACCTGTAGTTTACCTGTTGTTGGTTCCGAGAGTTCACTTACTCCCCAAGTCGGGCCACCGGCCTGACTTCACATAATTTGATCTTAAAGTCTGTTACATGGAGCGGCCCCCTGCACACGCCCCCATACCCACTACAACCTGGTTGGTCTGGCATTTCCTGTAGGATATAGTTCAGTTGACTCTTGAACACACCCATCCACTTGTGTGCCAGACCTCCGAGGAGCTCAAGGCAGTTACAGATGTCAGAAGTCGTGTAGTGTGCTTGGATTGTACCAAGGAGGTTCTCTTCTTAAGTGTGGCCCTGAGGGTCTGGCGAGCCTGGTTCTTGTAATCACCTGTGTACAAAATAAAACAATCCACGACCTTCGTTTGTACAGAATAAAATGATTCAGGACCTTCGTTTGTACAAAATAAAAAGATTCAGGACCTTCGTTTGTACAAAATAAAATGATTCAGGACCTTTCGTTTGTACAAAATAAAATGATTCAGGACCTTCGTTTGTACAAAATAAAAAGATTCAGGACCTTCGTTTGTACAAAATAAAAAGATTCAGGACCTTCGTTTGTACAAAATAAAAAGATTCAGGACCTTCGTTTGTACAAAATAAAAAGATTCAGGACCTTCGTTTGTACAAAATAAAAAGATTCAGGACCTTCGTTTGTACAAAATAAAAAGATTCAGGACCTTCGTTTGTACAAAATAAAAAGATTCAGGACCTTCGTTTGTACAAAATAAAAAGATTCAGGACCTTCGTTTGTACAAAATAAAAAGATTCAGGACCTTCGTTTGTACAAAATAAAACAATCCAGGACCTTCGTTTTTGTAAGTAGGTTGGTGAGTGTGGTCATTGTAGCAGTCAGTAGGAGAGTGTACACAGGTATGTGTGCTCCTCTCTTAGACTGTTTTGCTTGGGTGGTGCTGAGGGGCCTGATTCACGAAGCAGTTACACAAGCACTTACGAACCTGTACATCTGTTCTCCATCTTTGGCGACTTTGTTTATAATTATTAAACAGTTAATGAGCTCCGAAGCGCCAGGAGGCTGTTTATAACAATACCAACAGTTGATGGGGAAGTTTTCATGCATGTAAACTGTTAATAAATGTAACCAAAGCCTTCAAAGATTGAGAAAAGATGTACATCACACAACCATCAAAATCTTTGAAATACAAAATACAAGATTTTAATTTACCAAGTAGACAGAGAAACAGTGGCTATTGATTCATGAGACACAGAACGCAGGGCTTCAGATGTTAAAAGTCGTCTGAAGTCGTCTGTATCCACCTGGGTAAACAAAACAAAGATACGTCAACATGAGAGAGATGGCAGAAAGAACTACAGTGAGAACATCATAACTTAAGGATATGTTTAAGATATGTTGGAAGATGTCTGGGTATCCTGTTTGTGTACGAATATGCTCGGGTAAACGAGAGAGCGGTATCATTGCACTCAAATATTACTAGTTGGAAAGGCAGGGTTTAAAGAGCTGATACTTGACCCTCCAAGCTTATTAATATAGCCCAGGGTAATATACAGACATACACGTCTGACCTGAACTTCTATTTCACCTACACTCTTAAGCTGATTTACCTCCCTCCCTCCATCCCTATTCCTCCCACTACCTCCACCCTCCCTCCCTCCATCCCTATTCCTCCCACTACCTCCACCCTCCCTCCCTCCCTACTTATAAACACATCAATAAACACCATTTCCCTCTTGCAGTGGCTTGCTTAGCGATATGAATAAAGCTCCATTACATATTGAGGTGGGAGGAGGGGAGGGGGGAGTTAGCTGTAACCTAAGTATGGCAGACATTCTTGTTGGCGTGTATTCATCGCTGTTGATCGAGAACCTGGCGGGTGGCGGCGATGACTGTGGTGGTGTTGGGCTCTGTTACACACACACACAAACACACACGCACACACGCGCGCGCGCACAAACACACACACGCGTCATTTATGGTGATTGAGGTGATTTTTAATGGCAGGACAAGCTGCTGTAGAAAGAGGCGAGTGGCTTGCCTATCTCTGAAGTGGGTTCAGAGAGATCTACTCTCCTGCTGCTGGAGTACGAGTACTGCCTTGACCACCCACTGGAGTACGAGTACTGTCTTGACCACCCACTGGAGTACGAGTACTGTCTTGACCACCCACTGGAGTACGAGTACTGCCTTGCCCACCCACTGGAGTACGAGTACTGCCTTGACCACCCACTGGAGTACGAGTACTGTCTTGATCACCCACTGGAGTACGAGTACTGTCTTGACCACCCACTGGAGTACGAGTACTGTCTTGACCACCCACTGGAGTACGAGTACTGCCTTGACCACCCACTGGAGTGCGAGTACTGTCTTGATCACCCACTGGAGTGCGAGTACTGTCTTGATCACCCACTGGAGTGCGAGTGCTGTCTTGATCACCCACTGGAGTGCGAGTACTGTCTTGATCACCCACTGGAGTACGAGTACTGTCTTGATCACCCACTGGAGTACGAGTACTGCCTTAATCACCGACTGGAGTACGAGTACTGTCTTGATCACCGACTGGAGTACGAGTACTGCCTTGATCACCGACTGGAGTACGAGTACTGTCTTGATCACCCACTGGAGTGCGAGTACTGCCTTGATCACCCACTGGAGTACGAGTACTGCCTTGATCACCCACTGGAGTACGAGTACTGCCTTGATCACCCACTGGAGTACGAGTACTGCCTTGATCACCGACTGGAGTACGAGTACTGTCTTGATCACCGACTGGAGTACGAGTACTGTCTTGATCACCCACTGGAGTACGAGTACTTACATTCCTCAATCTTCCACAGGTATTACCAGCCTCCACACACACACGTCATCCTGACTTTCTATGAGCTTAAAGTCACTGTTCGATGCCCACCTTTCTATAAACAAACCTGGCCCCAAGCTGGTCTTGAGAAAAAGAAACCCCAAACTTCCCAGAACCCGCCTCAGGTGTGTGTCAGGTATTGTGTGGGTTGCCTCTCACAGTTGACCTACTGTGGAGTTTTGGATACATGGGAAGGGAAGCAAAACGTCTATGTAATATGCACATAATAGCACATGTATGGAACATGAGAGGAATAACGGGGAAAATTGGACAATGGATCTTGAATTTCATGACAAACTGAAACTGAAGAATCATAGTGTCTTTGAACAAACCCACAAGGGCCGTGACGAGGATTCGAACCTGCGTCCGGGAGGATCCCAGACACTGCCTTAATCTGCCTGCCTGCCACCTTCGAGGTGGCAAGCCCCGGTCCGCCAGGGTACTGTGCTTGCTCCAGTACTCTTCTCGCTCCAGTACTCTTCTCATCCTCATTAGGGTTTGTATGAGAGTACAAAATCACGGCATTCCAAAGGTACTTGATAAACTCCTCCAAGGGGTACCTTATCAACCGGGCTGTGATTCATATCTCAGGCTGTGAGCAGCGGCATCTTTAACAGCTTGGTTGACCAGAGGCTCAACCACAAGCCTCCAGTTAGAAGGCTTGGTTGAGCCTCTGGTAATTATCTTGAGGTTATCTTGAGATGATTTCGGGGGCTTTAATGTCCCCGCGGCCCGGTCCTCGACCAGGCCTCCACCCCCAGGAAGCAGCCCGTGACAGCTGACTAACACCCAGGTACCTATTTTACTGCTAGGTAACAGGGGCATAGGGTGAAAGAAACTCTGCCCATTGTTTCTCGCCGGCGCCTGGGATCGAACCTAGGACCACAGGATCACAAGTCCAGCGTGCTGTCCGCTCGGCCGACCGGCTCCCCTCAAGGTAACCTCAAGGTAACGTAATCAATCAAGCCTAACGCAATCAAGCAGGTAACGTCTTCCTCTTCAACTTGCCTACCTTATCATACCATCTCAGCCTCTCCAGTAAACACATCGAATTTTGACGTATGAATCCCCCTAAGGCCAAAAAGTTTTGTACTAAAAATCATAGCGGCTCGCAGAATTGACGTGATGTGCCGTTTTCTATTCGTGGGTCTTTAGTCAGGTTAGGGTTGGGCTATATTTAGTACATCAGTTTAGAGACGTTGCGAAATGTTGAGAGGCCAGGCTGCTCAGTGTGTCATAATGGCAACTAGTCATCCAAAAAGGACAGTACTCAAAGTAACAATTGGTCGAACGTCCCAAAAATATATTCATTTTGTAGAGGCCACGAGAAATAAAGCATCAACCAAGCCGAAAGCTTTCCCCATGCCGGGGAAAGGGGAGTCGGTCGGACGAGCGGACAGCAACTAATACGTCATAAACACGTTAAGCCAAGATGTAACAACTTTATTACAAGTTGTAACAAGCGGAAAATGGAGACAGTTACGGTTTGTGTTTCCAGGGTTGTGGTGAGTGAGCAACCTACACCACAACCACTTTGCCATAGTCGTGTTCAAACCGGCGTGCGATTAGCTGCCGGACGCCGCCGTTCGCCACCTGACGTATGAATCACAGCCTGGTTGATCAGATATTCTTTATTAGAATCAAGAACTGTTGCTGGGGCGGGTCTCTCCAGCAACGTGGAGCCCTCCCGCCAAACACACACCGAAACTACGACGTTGGTACAACGTTTGAACAAGTTTTAACTCTTCCTAACCAGTTATAACAACCAATAGAGCACGTTGTAACAACGTTCTAATACGTCATAAACACGTTAAGCCAAGATGTAACAACTTTATTACAAGTTGTAACAAGCGGAAAATAGAGACAGTTTCGGTTTGTGTTTCCAGGGCTTATCGTGTGTCTGGAGATCTATGAATGGGTTGTAAATACTATTCCGGTTCTTGTACTGAATGGCCAAGATGCCCTTATTGGGACACCCAGCCAGTTAAACAAAAAAAAGAAAGAGGCGGATACGGTTATACAAATATTTGATGAATGCCTTTGTGGGTGGTTGGTTGGTGGCGGGACGGAGGAGAAGAAGGGCGTGATTGGCTAGATTTGCAACCAGTTTTTGCCCGCTTGGCTCCTGTTGATTGCTTGCTTTCTTGCCCACTATTATTGCCGGTCATTTGGCGGGTACTTGCAGCAGGTTGTGTGGAGGGTTTTGACACCCTTTGCATCTGAAGTGCTCTTGTCAGGTCAGAAGTGTTCATACGTGGGGCAATCACTTGACCTATTGAGGAAAAGTGTTTATTAGTTCAAGTAGGAGAGTCGACGACCGGGCCGCGGGGACGCTGAGCCCCGGAAGCACCTCAAGGTAGCACCTCAAGGGTCTATAATAACAGTTTTGATACCTCATGGTGATACACTGTATAGATTTACTGAACAAAAAATTCACCACTTACGGGTTATTCATGCCCGTGCCACCTTTTGGGTGGCTAAATCTTCATCAATCTGGTATGTGGACCTTGGTGTGCTTCACCAAGACAGACAGCCTCACAGAATCAGGCAGACTACACCCAGGGAAAGTCAGGTGCAGGAGTGGAACAACTCTCGAAATCATCTACAGGTTATACCCCGCTCACAGAATGAGTACAGCTGCCCGCCGCCGCCGCTGGTGGTGGTGGTGAGTGGCGATGGTCAAATTGTCATATCACCTGTTTTCTACACATTGAAATATCATTATATTAAATATTTTTGCTTACACACACACACACACACACACACGCGCGCACGCACGCACGCACGCAGGCAGGCAGGCAGGCAGGCAGGCAGGCAGAGTTTCCCGGACCAGGCAGAACAAATAGGCAAAGTTTCTTTAACCCCTGATACCCCTGTTACCTAGCAGTAAATAGGTACCTGGGAGTTAGACAGCTGTCACGGAGCTGCTTCCTGGGTGTGTGTGTGTGGGGGGGGGGGGAATTAGTAGTTAGTTACAGTTGACTGACAGTTGAGAGGCGGGCCGAAAGAGCAGAGCTCAACCCCCGCAAGAACAACTAGGTGAATACACACACACACACACACACACAGCAGGTGTAGCTGGTAAGGTGCTCCAGTGGATAAGGGAGTATCTAAGCAATAGGAAGCAGAGAGTTACGGTGAGGGGTGAGACCTCCGATTGGCGTGAAGTCACCAGTGGAGTCCCACAGGGCTCTGTACTCGGTCCTATCTTGTTTCTGATATATGTAAATGATCTCCCGGAGGGTATCGATTCATTTCTCTCAATGTTTGCGGACGATGCTAAAATTATGAGAAGGATTAAAACAGAAGAGGACTGTTTGAGGCTTCAAGAAGACCTAGACAAGCTGAAGGAATGGTCGAACAAATGGTTGTTAGAGTTTAACCCAACCAAATGTAATGTAATGAAGATAGGTGTAGGGAGCAGGAGGCCAGATACAAGGTATCATCTGGGAGAGGAAATTCTTCAGGAGTCAGAGAAGGAAAAAGACTTGGGGGTTGATATCACGCCAGACCTGTCTCCTGCAGCACATATCAAGCGGATAACATCAGCGGCATATGCCAGGCTGGCCAACATACGAACGGCATTCAGAAACTTGTGTAAAGAATCATTCAGAACTTTGTATACCACATATGTCAGGCCAATCCTGGAGTATGCAGCCCCAGCATGGAGTCCATATCTAGTCAAGGATAAGACTAAACTGGAAAAGGTTCAAAGGTTTGCCACCAGACTAGTACCCGAGCTGAGAGGTATGAGCTACGAGGAGAGACTACGGGAATTAAACCTCACTTCACTGGAAGACAGAAGAGTTAGGGGGGACATGATCACCACATTCAAGATTCTGAAGGGGATTGATAGGGTAGATAAAGACAGTCTATTTAACACAAGGGGCACACGTACTAGGGGACACAGGTGGAAACCGAGTGCCCAAATGAGCCACAGAGATATTAGAAAGAACTTTTTTAGTGTCAGAGTGGTTGACAAATGGAATGCATTAGGAAGTGATGTGGTGGAGGCTGACTCCATACACAGTTTCAAGTGTAGATATGACAGAGCCCGATAGGCTCAGGAATCTGTACACCTGTTGATTGACGGTTGAGAGGCGGGACCAAAGAGCCAGAGCTCAACCCCCGCAAACACAACTAGGTGAGTACAACTAGGTGAGTACACACACACACACACACACACACACACACACACACACACACACACACACACACACACACACACACACAGAAACAAGAACTTATGCTCTATGTTCAGGAAGAGATTAGGAAGGGAAGAGAGGACTGGGAGAGGGAATGTGCTCGTATCACAAACGAATTATAAATATAAATTAGGAAGGATTAGCAGCATGGCTAAGGACAGAGGACTAGTGGGGGATGGGTTAGTGACTGCGGTTGGGATGGGGAATCCCCAGGGGACAGGCTACCAGCATGACAATGAATTACTGAGGAGACGGTCTATTATAATACATGGATTATTCGAATCTGGGGCACCAACAAGACAAGAGAGAATAGAAACAGAAAAATACACACTGGGCTTGTGATCCTGTGGTCCCGAGTTCGATCCCGGGCGCCGGCGAGAAACAATGGGCAGAGTTTCTTTCATCCTATGCCCCTGTTACCTAGCAGTAAAATAGGTACCTGGGTGTTAGTCAGCTGTCACGGGCTGCTTCCTGGGAGTGGAGGCCTGGTCGAGGACCGGGCCGCGGGGACACTAAAGCCCGGAAATCATCTCAAGATAACCTCTCAAGATAACCTATCGGATCTCAATGACCACTAAGTTCACAATTTTATATCCCGCGAACCACAAATAAGTACTTATCTCCAACAGTCATTTTTGTTAAAGCAATTACTTGCTTTAACATATTTCCACGCATTCTTTGACAATATTTAAGTGCAGGCGATGAGTCACAATAACGTGGCTGAAGTATGTTGACCAGACCACACACTAGAAGGTGAAGGGACGACGACGTTTGG